GATAGATAGATAGATAGATAGATCGATAGATAGATAGATAGATGGAGGGTGTGTATATATATATATATATATATATATATATATATATATATATATATATATATATATATATATATATATATATACTGTCTAATTATGTACCTTGTAACCTAACTTGGTAACCTAAATTGTATTTTAAGCTGAATAGTAATTTCTTGCAAAATAAAGAGTAAAATTTTATGTACTGACATCATGGAAAAGACATGTTTAGATATGTTTATTAGGGCCTACTCACACTATGCACACTATGTTCGGCGAAATATCTGACTGCGTGTCACTGCATCCCTAAGGACTGTTTGGCGAAATATTTGACTGCATGTCACTGCATATCAAACGACTGATACGATATAACTTGAGAAATCTCCTCTGTGCTGCCGAGTGAGATTGCTTCTCACTGAACAGCACAGCATTGATGACATAAGCATGCCAAGGCCCAATTGTGGTGTGAGTGCGGGCCGTCGGGGGAGACGGGAGGGGGGACAAGCGTGGTTTGGCCCGGTTTGAGGCAACTGTACCTAATGTGAGTACGGCCTTAGTGTCGCGATTCAAGTTAATCCACAGCACCGCACACATGCATTGGTTAAAAGTCCTGTTGTAAACTGAATTCTTTTTCATTTTCTTGCAAAAAAAAAAAAAAACAATAAAAAGAAATTGTAATTGTCTTGTATTTTTAAACTTAAAAAATATGATTGAAGAGAGTCAGCTGGAGAGCCACATTTTTTTGGTCAAAGAGCGACATGTGGTTCCAGAGCCATAGGTTCCCTTCCCCTGCAATAGAGGTTGTTTTAAAGTCAGTATATCATTATTCAGTTCTCTTTACTTAAATGTTTAACATTTGTCGATTCATGACTCTTCGTGAAACCATTATGCACTCCAGTATAATACTTTTCAGTGGTCCATGTATAAACTGCACCATTTGCCATATAAAATGTGGGGAAAGACATAATGTTCTGTTTAATGTCTGTGCTGCCAGGGAATGAATTATCTACACAACAGTTACATTGGCTCCCATGGCAATCTGAAATCATCTAATTGTGTGGTGGATAGCCGCTTCGTTTTGAAAATCACAGATTATGGTCTGGCAAGCTTCCGTTCGTCTTGTGAAAATGAAGACTCACATGCGCTGTATGCAAGTAAGAATCTTTTGAAATTATATGTTTTAAGGTGAAATCTTCAACTAAACATTGACCATTGCTTATAAAGTTCTGCCTACCAAACCATTTTTTTTTTTCAGAAAAGCTTTGGACAGCTCCAGAGTTGCTGATATATGATAGGCATCCACCCCAAGGGACCCAGAAAGGAGATGTGTACAGTTTTGGGATAATACTACAAGAGATAGCACTCCGGAACGGGCCGTTTTATGTTGAAGGAATGGATCTTAGTCCCAAAGGTGAAAGCTCAAAAACAAATGTATTGAAATAATTGTGTTCTCCACTGATGGGAATTAATTTCATTGTTTGTCTATTTTTTTTTTTACAGAGATAATTCAGAAGGTGCGGAATGGCCAGAAACCATACTTTAGGCCCACTACAGACAACAGCCGGCACTGTGAAGAGCTGACCATCTTAATGGAAGGCTGTTGGTCTGAAGATCCTGCAGAAAGACCCGACTTCAGCCATATTAAGGTCTTCATTGCAAAATTTAACAAGTAAGCACTTAAACTGATTATATTTACATTTGTGCCTATTAATAGTTTGTCCAACAAGTCTATAAAATATAGTCATTTTATTAGTGTATTATAGTATGCAAAAGTTTTCGAAACAGATTTTAATAAAATTTTTTTTTTTTTTACAATTTTAAGTCATTTTAATTCAATGAAAAATATTTGTGCTATTTTTAATGCATAGAAAAGCTGTAGCTAGGACTTTACATGCTACAGAAGGGAAATTGAATAGTATTTGAATAGTCAAATCTAAAATAAAACACTGGAGTTTTCCATATGAATGAATACAGAAAATTTGTAATGGTACAATAGTGATTCAGAAGTGAGCTGTTTGTTTGTCTTTTGGTGTTTAATTAGTTGATAACGTGGATTTTAGGTTTTGTCAGAAAGTGACCAAATCCACTGTCAAGCCAACATCCTAAACCAACGTCATAGTGACGTCATATACTGACATTTATTCATCAGGTATGGCAACCAAAATCCAACGTCTGGTAGATTTCATATTGGTAACGTCCAAACAAAGTCAAGCTGTAACATCATTAGACGTTGATATTTTGTTGCTTTTAAGTTGCGATGGAAAGCAAACACACGTTTGGGGCACAACGTGAAACTGATGTCATGTTGACATCCTGTGCCTGCTGGGGGTAAATTGAATAAACGAAACTGTCCCTAGTGTATGAGTGTGTGTGTGTGAATGAGTGGTTTTGGGTGTTTCCCAATATTGGGTTGCAACTAAAAGGGCAATTATATGCTGGAATAGTTAATCGTTCATTTTACTGTGATGACCTCTAAAATAGAGAATAAGCCGAAGGAAAATGAATGAATGAATGAATGACTTATATATTATAGGTATAGGCTACTGTCACTTTAAGAATGAATGTGTACATTTTGTCCAACAGTCAAAAGCATGCATTTTCTGTTTATGTTCATTCAAGACATAACTGACAAAAAGTGAATACTAACAAGATATGCTTTTTGAAGTAATTATTTGTTTATTTAGAAAAAAAAACTGATAGCATGCTTGAATAAGCAAGTCTTAAAATTGATTGGAAACTTTATTTCATCTTTATTTCTCTAGCGCTTTTACAATGTAGATTGTGTCAAAGCAGCTTAACATAGAAGATTATAGTAAACTGAAACTGTCAGTTCAGTTTTCAAAATTTCAGTTCAGAGTAGTTCAGTTCAGTGTGGGTTAATTAACCCAGAAACTTTATTGACAAAGCACCAAATGGCTGCATTGGGCAAGTGATAATTACTTTGACAGCATTCAGCTCTGTTAAGATGCATTATGCTGATTCATTTATACTTTTTTTGAAGGCGCAGAGCATTTTCAAATTCTCCTTTGATATGTGGATTCATTTACTCATTCATCCTTCTTGCTATAGTGAATACATATTTGTGGGCATTTATGCCTTTAGCAGATCCCTTGCTGACATTTAAGCCCTGGCAGGCAGTAATTAGTGCACACCTTTTAAAGAAATGAAAACAAAGCACACCATAACAAGTAATTGTACATACACTTACATTTTCTGTTCACAAAGGTTTTGGGAGCATCAGTTTTTAGTCTTGCTTTTATTTACATTTTTAAGATAAGATTATTCTGATTGTTGAAAGTTCTGCAGATGTTTAAATGATGGATATCAACATCTTTATTGAAATTATGGAACATGTTCTATATCTAACAGACCAACAATGTTTGTTTACACTGACATTTATTGATGCTAAAGTAAGCATCATGAATTAACAGATTGACAGTCATTGAACACAAATCATTAATATAGATTATATTCTTTATATTGTGGTAATGGTTACTGATGATGATTAACAGAACACGTAAGAGGTATTACCATATTCTGGCTACACACAGAATACAAGCTAAGATTTTTTCGTAGCATTTTACAATAAGGTTGTATTAGTTAATACATTTACTAACATGAACAAATAATAAAGGTGACGCAGTGGCACAGTAGGTAGTGCTGTCGCCTCACAGCAAGAAGGTTGCTGGGTCGCTGGTTCGAACCCTGGCTCAGTTGGCATTTCTGTGTGAAGTTTGCATGTTCTCCCTGCGTTTGTGTGGGTTTCCTCCAGGTGCTCCTGTTTCCCCCACAGTCCAAAGACATGTGGTACAGGTGAATTGGGTAGGCTAAATTGTCCATAGTGTATGAGTGTGTGTGTGTGTGTGTGTAGATATTTCCCAGAGATGGGTTGTGGCTGGAAGGGCATCCGCTGCGTAAAAACATGCTAGATAAGTTGGCAGTTCATTCCCCTGTGGAAGGTGGATGTGCACATTGAGATGCAGAGATAATGGTTCACACGAGTTGTTCATAACGCGAAGATTCATTCACAAATGAAACGCTTCCTGCGTTAGAATTAAAAAAGCAGGAGAGGGTGTGTATTTCAGGACACAGATTAAATTTAATAGGTAGGGAGGATAATACATTTCCATGCACACAAACACATGCTTTTTGTCAGCAATGCCCATGCAATCACTTGTCCATCGATATAGAAAAGTGATGTAAAATGATCATTTTCGTAATAACAAAAAAATATTTACATACTGATCTCCAATCATAGATATATGTATACATGTGTATATATCTCTGGCTCCGGATAGCCAGTCTGCCACTGCACCTTGGTCCCATAGTCATTTCAAAGGAGCGATACCCTGTACTAAAATGGCGGCTCTATTGACGCATTCCTTCCACAACAATAGTGTACTTCATGTTAGTAAATACATTAACGAGCATTAACTAATAAAAACCTTATTTTAAAGTGTTTTAAAGGTTAGAGAATCAAAATTTTACATTTTTTTGTTGCATGAAACACACACTGTTTAGCACATTAGCATGAAATACAACACTTTATTTAAAAAACAAGCTCACTATTTTTACCAGAAACTAACTAAATACACTAATTGCCAACTGCATTTATGAGCTCAACAGAATTTGTACGATTGTTATAATTGTAAATGTATTTAAATGTAATGTGACTAATCATAAGTTGTCACTTATATTCAATAGATGAAGCTGTAATGGGCCGACTTACTGATTTACTGATTTGATTTTCTGATTTCTACATTTCTATCTTAATGCAAAATAATAATAACATGTAAAGCATTTTGTAAAAATGATTTTGAAACGATTGGTTTCTCAAAATTATGAATGAACTATTTTGTTTTTAAAACTAAATGTTTACTGATTTGACAGCTCGACTGCTCCATGATCAAAGGTGGGGGACACATTTGCACAGATGTAATAATTACATTTAATTTGACATTTTTAGACACTCACCATACAAAATATGATAGAGGAATTATGTGGTATATATTGTAGAGGTATCATTTACACTTCTAGTTATTTATTTTGGGGTTGTCAGATTTCCTAAGGCCCTAACCTACCGCTTACCTTGCTTATTAGTTAAATCCGCCCCTGGCTGTAATACATAGTTTTTTCTGCATGGGCATTTTTACCCTGCTTTCTTGAATTAGGGGGTGTTTTTTCTTTTAATTGGCATTATTACTCCAAGTCTTTGTTCTTTTCCAACCCTGCATTGCATCACTAAAATAAATACATCATCAATTACAACAAATAACCAACACTAAGGGCCCTATCATACACCCGGTGCAATAAGACACAAGATGTGTTTGCCACAATGTGTTGCTATTTTCAGACCAGCGCAACAGTAATTTTTCTTCTTTGAACCAAGTTGTTTAAATAGCAAATCCATTTGCACCGCTTTGTGGACTCATGGGTGTGTCGGTCTAGAAAAGAGGTATGTTGTTGGCGCATTGCTATTTTGAAGAAATAAAATAGCCTTAAATGCTTACACAATGCTTAATACTCACAGGATGTACAGCAATACACAAATAGCTTTACAAATAAAAAAATAAAGGATTATAATATTGAAATATTACAAAAATTATAATTTTCTACTTAAATTTTAAAACCACTGCCTCTGTGCCTACTTCATCTCCTTTTTTTCAGTTTATTCAAAACAATTTGCATTTGTATAATGTTATCATTATTAGTATTATTTATTAAATGCATATTTTTATTTGTTTTATTAAAAACAAGCTTAGACTTGTCCATCTGTCAGGTTTTGGACCATATGGGGCATAGCACCTGTGTTTGGATATACAGTAACTGAGTTGTTTGACCACACTTCGTTAATAATGTTCATTTATTCATTTGCTGGAAACTAGAACTGAATTTAGAAATAGTTTTGAAACAAATCTTTGCGCTTAACAAAAGAAAATAGTTATGTGGGTTAATCTTCAGTAGAGTGTGTACAACACTGTTTCCTTATTCACGAAAGAGAGAAAGAGAAAGAGAAAGAAAAGAGGTCGAATGGAGGAGGTTTGTTCTTCATCCTTGCCCTGCAGATGCTTTAACTGTTTTCTCGTGTAGGGTCCAGCCAGTTGGTTCAATGACGGTATCCACTGGTGGATGAAGGTTCACTGCATGTTCGGTCTTTCCAGTGCACAATGTTGATTTATATTAAACTTAACTCATATCTGACTCCAATTTTAGTATGAGGTGGTTTAGAATATTAATATATTTATCCTCGTTTTATCTGACTCCAATAATAAAACATTGAGAAGGTTATTTTGTTTCCGTTCACATTAATTTAGATTATGATTGAATATTCTTTTGATTTGTTATTATACCTTATTCTCATTTACTCAGATTCCTATAGCATCCCGAGTCTTGCACCGGCCGGGTATACAATCTCTTAATACAAGCTTGTCAGTCTTGGTCATTAAACAGAGGCGATTAACCACTCTCCTAAAAAGGCAGAACCCTACTTACTCAATTTAGGAGATTTTTATGTGGTCCCCATAGATCTGTTATCTACTTAATCAAGACAAAGTATTTTAATAATATTCGCACAGGATTATACGTTTGTAGATGAAGGCCTAAATATCCACATTTAAAGTAGTTTCAACAATATTTTGTTGTTCTAAATAGTTGGCCTTTTACAGTCCA